TTTGACAAGTTAATATATATAACAAAAGTTCACTTTAATGCCAATTATCTTAATTTTATATATTCTATTACAATTTAATATTCTATTTAAATATTTTTTTTTTTTGCTTTCATAAGACTATTAGTTATCAATGATTACTGTCTTTATTGTGATTTAATTATGATTATATAACTTGTACAAGATAAGTGTGCAACTAGCTACATATACAGCTTTTGGCTATCTATTTAAGTAGTTTATTCACAGGTTTTACATTAGCTGTTATATTTGTAATTTGTTAGAAGGTTACTTAATTAAACACTTTAATTTTTATACTATATTTAACAGATAGCATACAAGTTTCTGTATATTAAAATGTTATTTAACCTAATTTTGATCTTTCTATTTGTATATTTGTCAAACTGTTATATATTTTAAAGCATATTACCTAACTGTAGAGCTTCAAAAAGCCCTTTTGCTAACTAACTACTTATATTTAATCTTTTTTGTTAGTAGAGCTTATTCTTGTAAAGTTTACTTAGATCTTAGTACTAACTTTATAGTATATCTCTAGTACTTAAGTTATATTCTGCTTGGTTTTTAGATTTTTAATTCAAATAGTCTAAAAAAACTGTGATCTGTCTCTGATATTTCAAAGTTTTATCTTTTGTGATTCTTTTTCTTTAATTCAAAACTTTTGGCAGCCTAGATAGTAGTACCTCTTATCTAAAGTTCTTGCTTACATAATTTCTTTCATTTTAATTTTTATTTCTTAGGTCTAGCCTTTATAGTAATACTTTTAAAAATCTATGTTACCTCTTTACTTAAGTTTTTTTAAATAAGTTTTGACTTCTTAATTTTATAGATTTACATAACCACAAAAACTTATTTTGAATTTAAACTGTCTAATGCCAGTTTGTATAATTTCAATATTGCACAGATGTTCTATAACCTGTTAGTTATACTGATGCAATCATAGTTACAAGTATCTTATCTTAACTAATTGACAGAATGTCATTGCTGTAATACTACTTATGTATTATATAGGTAATTATTTAAATTTTTATTATCAATAGATTTTGAACTTATTATTTACTACTTAAAGGATTAACAACTTATTTACTTCACTAAGTTATTACACTTTTTTCTTATTTAAATTCTTAACTTTCTTAATATTAATATTATAATATACTTACATTTAATTATCTTTGAATCTGGTATTTTAATAAATGACCTTTAACAAATTAATAATAACAATATACAACTATTGAAATTCTACTTTTATACAGATAATTATATTGTTAACTTGAGTATATCATAATGCTTCATAGATATTAAATAGATACAAATTTCAAACAATATATATTTTAAGCTCAAACAAGATATTAGTTTTGTTCATTTAAGTCTAAACTTATTGCTATCTTATTAGCTCTTATTACTATTATATTATATATATATACTAATTTACAGTCTGTAATTTTCAAATATTACAGTCTTTCAAGCTCAATTTATACTTTATTTTATATATATATATTATATTTTTTATTATAAAATATACTTATTAACTTTATTAAATTATACAATATTTATATTATTAGAGGATAATGATCCTAGTATAGTGGTTGGGTTGTCATCCTCCAAATAGCAAGTCTAAGGTTCAAATTCCATCTATGATGAAATTTGGAAATTATATCTGTGATATGAAAACTGTCTTCTGTCAATTGGTTGGCCTCATGCGGCTGTAACCCAGGTATATCAAGTCGGGTCCTACTGACATTGGGAGCTTGGAGCATCTATGCGAAGTGTAATGTTATACAGTACATGTATATAGAAGAATGTTAATAACCAGTATTGCATAAGACTTTGGTGCAAACCCACGATAAGACCACTGGGTGTAGAAGACTAAGGAACTAAGAAGATGGAATCCCACTTGGAAATTCCTGAGTAAAGAGGTAGCACAAACTTTCAATGATGCTGTCGGACTGATGGAAGCTCACGAAACACCTTCATAGGAACTGAAGATTAAAACCAGACATCAAGATGTGTAGAGGAACACATGACCAATCAGGCTGTCGGATTCGCTAGAGGAAAAGGATACTAAGGTATACTATACCAGGCCATCTGGATTGGTAGTCTGAAATGAGACTAATGGTTCTGAGTTGTAATTAGTAGAAGATGATGAAGAAGATATCAGAAAGATAGATACCAGGGTTTGGGTAAACTTTACAAGGGTAGAAATAGTATAATATAGTAGTTTAAGGTTAGCCCTGACTGCAAGTATTAGGTAACTATAGCATATTATATAAAACTAGATTAGCTGTGTATGGGACATAGAAGGCTCTAGTAACAATACTTCTGAGAATACACTGCATAAAATAAGGTATGGGGTCCTAAGAATACGAGTAAGCATCTAGACCTTCTCAACTGACTTACATAGCAGAGATAATCTAGTGATATAGTAAGGGTTGCAGTACAGAGAGTTTAAATAGGCAACACCCCTAGTTGGGTTGCAGGTATAGCAGCTAGTGTAGAACTATTGGCAGACTACTTAATTAAACACCAAAAGTGTACATGTGACTAGTTGTACTCTCTAATGTAAGGTGACTTCTTTGAGGCCTTGGTCATGAGTCCCTATATCCTGACTATACTGAATAAAAAGTCCCAGCTCCAAAAGAAGTTAGTTTAACAAAAAAAATATATATATTTATATTAATTTTCACAAAGTTAGTACTTATTAAAATAATCAATATAATAATTTTGCAGATCAATTTATATGTAATCATCACAATTTGTCATATCTTATCTTTATGTTTTATAATATCTATAATTTTGCATATACTTTAAACTTTGAAAACTTCTTTTTAAAACTATCTATCCATTGCAATATCTGTATAATATGTTATACATATGGGGGGTGCCAGTAGAAACTAAGCAAATTGTTTCTAAGTAAATTTTTTTTAAACTTTAAAGTAAAATATCTCAACAATTATTAAACCAAACTTGATAAATTTTTTTTTATTTTAATTCTATATAGTTATAAAATTAAAATAAAAAAAAAATTACCAAGTTTGATTTAATAGTTGTTGAAATATTTTAATTTAAAATTTTAAAAAAACATACTAAAAACAATTTGCTTAGTTTCTACTGACACCCCCCCATATATTTATGCATTATAGATTACATAAAACTGCTTTTAAAAATAAAACAAAATTCTTAACCAAGTTCATTAACAAGCTACTTAACTATATATAAACAATAATCAAAAAATCTTAAACTTCTTATATAGTTTTTTTAGTCTTTTACTTTTAAGTTCTTCAGAATTAAAATTCTATTAAATAATCTTTCTACTTCATATATTTTATACAAAAAAATATTATTTATATTTACTAATTTGTTACCAATATTACTAAACCAGTTCTCACTTCTACTGAACATTCTGTCTATCCAATTAATTACTATACAATCTTATAAATATTTCATTATAAAAAATCTTTAATACTAATATACTTGACACTACATCAAGCATTATAATTAATTTATATAACAAATTAAGCTATTAAGTAATATGACTATATACAGTATATCAAATATACTCTTAATCTTCTCAACTCTAACAGATCTAATACTAAATAAATTTATTAATACTATTACAAGTTTGTTATTTAAAAAAATAACTACAACACTTATTATAAAGTTTACATTTTATCTTAATTAACAAATTTAGTATAAAATCTGAATTCTTTATTGTATTTCAAAATCTACAACTTAATTTTCTAAATAAACTTATTATTAAATTTTGTTTTACTTTTATTATATTTTTTTTTGTTTAATTTTATTAGTTTAAAAATAAATTCTTAATATATCTAATAAATTAAATATTAAACTAACTTCTTATATATAATTACTAACATTAAAATCTAGATGAGCCTTGATCACTTTTGTTAATTTAGATCATAAATAAATTAGTCTAAATTTTTATTCTTTCTATAAAATTTTAAAAGCAAAATTATACTTTATATAAACTCTTAATTAAATATTTAATAAAAATAAAAACATGATCTTACTTTTAATATTAAAAAAAAAACCAAGTACTCAATTTTTTGAAAAGACTATAAAATAGAAAGAATAATAATAAGAAAAATTAAACCAATAAATAAAAAAATTTGAATTATAAAAGATAAAAATAGTAATTAAAAAATAAAATATAAATACAGTATAAAGAATTCAAATAAAGATTCAAAAATCAAACAAAAAAAAAGAAAAAAAAATCAAAAAGTATTTAAACAAATTCAAAATACAACATAAAAACAATTTTGAGTTAGCAAAACTAAATTTTATAAATCATTCCTAAAAATTATCAAAGTTGAATCAAAAACAACAAATATAAAGTCAAGTTTCTCATCATAAAATAAAAAAATAAAAACAAAAATCTTATTAAGAAATATTTTATATCTAAATAAAAAAACAAAAGATGATAAAAAACCAAAAGTTCACAAAACAAACAAAAATGAATATTTAACAATAAAAAAAAAATATACAATATATAACACATATAGGAAAAATATATAAAAATAAAAAAATTGAACTAAATCTAACAACATACAATATTAATAAGCTTAAAACAAATAACCAAAAAATAGAAACACTATGAATGAATAATCGATAATGAACTAAACTTGTAGTATTTTGTGTATTACATAACTTTTGATTTACAAATTTATTAGTGGCTATTATAAAATTTACTTTCGTTATAGTCACACAATGAGACTATTACTATGTATCTCACATCAAATTTCAGCCAGACAATGTGAATATAGCGGGAGTTAGGTGTACAAGCACTCAGTTTATTGAATTCACTAACCTGCCTTGGATATCACATGACCGTTAAATTTTTTGTGTATCACTTTGTCTCGTTCAAAAATATTACGATCATTAACTACAATTAAATATTTGCAATTTTTATTATATAATCTTAATTTTTAAGCAAGATCTCTTACAATTCAAGATCTCAATTCGTGCAATTACTATTCGCCAGAAACCAAAAATCCTATTCGTCAGGGACTAACAATAATAATAATAAGATAAATCTAATGAACAAAATTAATTGTTGGTGATGAGACAATAGAACCAACATACTTTCTACTTCACCAGCTTCGATTGAGTCGCTTAGGTCCTTCGGAGTTTGACTATTTTGGACAAAATAATTCTATCAATAAAATTATACACATCAGGTCAAGAATGAAAAAAAAAAAATACTGACCCGTCAACTGTACACCCAACGCTATTGCATGTGCCCAAGATTTCTTTCACTGTCCCCTTAAGTTCTTTGGCGAAGGACTTGGAACGCATTATACGAGCAATTTCGATTACTTCTTCGAGTGTAATATTACCAGAATGTTTGATGTTTTTTTCCTTTTTACGGTCTCTTGGCGGCTCTTTTAACGCTTTAATGACTAAGGAAGAAGCACTTGGGACAACTGAAACAGCCGCTTGACGGTTCTGAATAGTTAATTTCACCGTCACACGTAGGCCCTTCCAATCTGCTGTAGCCTTAGCAATATCTTCACCGACCTTTTTAGGAGCCTTTATTAACAATAAAATTCAATCAGCGCATTTCCATTAAAATTTTCTTTGTCAATAATGAACGATGAATATCAAATTTTTATAAAATTGAAAGATTTATATACCAAACCAAGCGGACCAATTTTCGGAGCTAAAGCGCTGGAAGCACCAACTTCACCACCAGTGGCTCTAAGGTAGACTTTGAGAATGAAATTGTCATTTTACGCATTGCATTTAATTGAATGAACTTTTTTTGAATTCGATACGCAACTAATCTTAATTTCATTTGGATCAATCTTGGGTGGCATGTCGGGTATGTTTTGCTTCAATGGAAGAAGAGGAGGTATCTTTTTTTTCAAGTGAACTTTTTATTATCCTTCGTTTGATTGGCTGATTAGCAAGTATACTATATCAGTCACGCGGGTAAAATCTTTAGTCCACTGTCGCAGCATCTAAATGGGGAGAGTCATGCGTTTGCTGCGACAAAGGACAATCTTTTTTTTTTTGGGACCAGATCTTGAAATTTTATTGGCAAAATCACATGAATGTGAATTTTTTAAGATCACTATATTATTGGTCAGATGTAGTTAAACCTTCATCCTGACTGTATATTGAAAAAGCTCTATTCAAGTGTAATGGGTAAGTTCGACGATTCAATTAAGTAAATAAGTTTACATGTAATAATTCAATTTTCATTTGTTTAGCAAAAAGCAAAAATCATACTAATCACAATCAAAGTAAGTTGTGAAGGTTCTTACATTTATAGTCTTTTCTTACCTAATTAAACTTTTCATAAGACCGTAAGGCCCACCGAAATGGTATTAAGAAGCCTAAAACCTACCGGTATCCATCTCTAAAAGGAGTATGTTTTTTCAGTGTTTATCGATCATTTCGTTCATTTATTAGTTGTTATTTTAAGAGATTATATCATTCTTAAATTCGTCAGGTTGATCCCAAATTTCTTCGTAATCAGCGTTATGCTAAGAAGGTAATAAAGAACCAAGCATATATTATTCGACTGAATTTTTTTACTAACTTGTGATGATTATTTGAAGGGTACTATCAAAGCTTTAAAAGAAGCAAAAGCTGCCGCATAGCAAATTTAATTGTTTATTAATGTAAAAAAACGAAACCTAATGTTTCTAGAAATAAAATTTATTGGATATATTATTTCTTAGAAACAGCTTTAGTAATTGATATTTGGTATATTAAATAGAAATATTTAACAGTTTAAAAAATTGGATTTTTTATTTAACATTTTTCTTTATAAAGGTTTAAAATGTTGTCTATAATAAAAATTATAGTAAAATCATGTGAATTTATTATAAACTTTGAGTCAAAAGATATTTTTTTAACTTTAATTAAGCAATTTTAAATTTTGCGTTTATATTGAACGAAAGAAGAAATTTAAAAACCAAGCTTAAAATTTTTATTCATAATTTGAAAATATAACTGTTAAAAATAATTATTTGTTAATTTTAAAGTTATTATATGTAAAATATGTTTTGAACAATTTTATTTAAGTAAAAGTAGATTATTTTAGCAAAAAAAATTAAGTTAGTTATATATTAAAGTTAAAAATTTTTTTGGCTATCTATATATTTTTTTATTAAAATAATTTTTTTGTTTTTTAAGTAAATTTGTTTAGTATAAAGGTTAAATATATTTTTTTAAACCTTTTTACTAAGTAAAAAATAGAATTAAAATTAAAAAATTTTTTTAAAAAATTGGGTTTAATTTGAATTTTATTTTTTATTTAGTAAAAGGTTTAAAAACAGTTATTTTATTAAAATTTTTTTAATAATTCTTTTAATATAAAACAATCAAATTACAGAAAATTGATATAAAAAGATCTAAGAAACTATTATTTTTGTTTTTATAAAGTAGATTGTTTTTAATAAAGTTAAAAACTTTAATATCAAAAAATAAACAGAACTTTTAATAAGTTTGTATTTTGGATTAAGTTTTTTTAGTAAATATTATTAAAATTTAAAGTATTATATATTACTAATAATTTTTATAGACCTCTAGGGTCAATAGCATAGTGGTTATGCTCCAAGGTTACAAATCACAAGATTGCCTGTTCAAATCCTAGTGATGGCAATTGTAGAGATGCATTTTCAAAAATAGAAAACTGCAACACTGCAGAATTAGAGATCTAGAATATCTACAGACAGACTTATTTCTAAAAATAGCAAGTAATCTACAATTGAGAAGTCATATGTTGATGAACATGAGTTAGAGTCTAATTTGAAATAACCAAAATCATGAGATATAATGTAAGGTTAAAAGTTTGATAATGTGAGATATTATATGAACTTATGGTAATAGTCAGTTCTTGATAGAGCTTGGTAAAACCTCTTAGTCCTGGCAGGAGTCAGTATAACTGTCATTTTTGGAAAGTTTAAAAGTATAGACCAGGAGAGGTTGAGGTTCAGAAAAACATAAATATGAAGGACAATAGTTCAGAATATAAAGGATATACAGAAAAATCTTAGTAAGACAAGTCAAAGAAGAAAAAAAAATTAATAATAATTTTTATATTATTACTAATATATAGCATTTTTGTAAAGTATTATCATAAATGATTACTAATAATATATAATAAAATTTTATTAAATTTACTTAATTTTTAATATTAGTTTTTTTAATAATTACTAATTCAAATCAACATAAATTTTTTATATAGATAGTATATATTTTTAATTATATTATATTATAAGTTTAGTAAATTTAAATTAATAGTTTATAAAAAATTATTTATAAAAATAGTTAATTTTTTGTAAAAAATTAACTATTATTTATAAATAATTTTTTATTAACTATTAAACTAAATTTGCTAAACTTTTAGTATGATATAATTGAACATATATATTATCTACAATAAAAATTTAATTTAATTTAAATTAGTAATTATTAAAAAAAATTAAAATCTAATCTTAAAAAAATTTTATAAATTTTATAAAAACTATTCTAATTAATAGTAATAATAATTATTTATAATTGGGGGTGTGGCGACCTAGTGAAGTGGTCAGGTTGTCAACCCCCCAAGTGGTAGGTTGGGTGTTCAAATCCCATCGA